TGCATGCTTTGGAGTCAGTTCCTAATTTTGTTCTGGCTCTGTTAGAGATGTTGCCTTGAGAATAATGGTGGTCTCTGCAGGATAGAAAAAAACATTAAAAACTCAGCCACAAAATAAAAGGAATTCTCAGACCAAAAGAAATCCTTCCTCTGCTTTATTCTTACTTTCCCCAGGTGAATTAATGAGGATATTGAGCYTAGCAAGTTGCACCTTCCCCCTGAAGTGCTCAAAAGAGAGACTAAAAACACTTTAGATCGTCCTCAAGCATGAGGATGATTCTGAATTGCAATGGAATGAAGTCATTAAGAAATAATTCCCCTCAGACCATCAGAAAGCAGATAAAAGTCCTATGAATATGAATTTGAATTTTCTGATATAGCTAGGCATATAGACCTACAGATCTAAACAGGTTGTGGTCTTCTTAGAAGTAATTCTGCCATTTTCTGAGAGTGTTTATTACTCAGCGTGATCTGCCAGTGGAAGACTMGGACCCTCTGCCACAAATCAATGTTAAAATATGCCCTTTACTCTCCAGCTTTCCTTAACGATGGCTCCTCACCTCAGCCTGACCTTTCGTTATGTTCAACCCACAGAGGGCAGTGATGTGCAGTTAATAATAACKTTTCAGAGCCTTAAATGAAAACACCATCTACTTTTTAGCAGTCACGGTGTATATTTTTGGGAAGAACTGACAATTTTTTTACGTGATCTATCAATAACATTGAACTCTCAGAATTTCTCAGGTTTAGTTTAGGGAATTTAAAAGTACAGAATTACAAAATAGGTTGTAAAAAATTGTGTTCTGGGGAATTTTCCAGAGCTTTTTTCCAGCAGAATTGTCTGGAAGAAGTCTGAACTAATAAATAGTAAACCATCTACAGGGAAGAAATAAGCTGAAAGCAGAAATACACAGGCTAAGCTAGGATGTGTTTTATAGCACCCCATGGTCCAGTCATCCKGTAAAACTTACGGTGTGACCAACAATAATCTTATTTAACTGTTTTGTCTGCATAAAAGCTACCTGCAGCTAAACTCCTGAGGGGTAGCAGGAAATTGAGAGTCTTGCCCTGACCAACAGCCAGCAGAGTCACCCTAGACACAGAGACAGGAGCATCCACCAAACCCACAGCTCTGAGCCGCCTCTCATCAGCCCTGCAGAGCACAGAAGGGGCTGAGCCTTTTGCTGCCAACCAGCCCAGGCTGAAAAACTGTCCACACYCAGTCTGAGCAGGTGTCAGCAAAAGAATAACCTCTTAAAAGCAGAAAAAAAGGTGACCCTGTGACTTCCAGCCTCCTCTACATTGACCATACTTCTGCTTGTCATGTATCTCTTTTACATATCTTTCCTTCACCAAAATACAAGAGTGAAAAAGGTTGAAGGATTTCTGGATGCAATGGGCAGGCCAAAGCACAGAATAATTTTTTCCATCCCCCTCAGGCCATATTTGTGTTTGTTTTAGAAGCAAACACATTCCAAACATATGAAAGAAATGCCAAAGCACAAGACAGATTAAAAGGTTGGAGAATGCAGAAAACAAAACAATAATTCATGAAACGGAATCTGCAGAGCTTACACACGGTGATCCTCTCATGCCAAGCATGCATCCAGAAGTGTATAGCTTACAGCCCTGAGCCAAGCCAGCTTCACTCTCTGGGCTCAGAGAGAGGGGGAAAGCCAAATTTGCTGCTTGTCTCTCCCTTTCCCACCTCCCCTTGGATGTCAGCTGCAGACAATGTGTAGGGTTTATGACTTTGAAGGGACTTTGCACTCTGGATTGGAATTGCCTTCACACAGTGATGCAGTCAGTGGATGAGGATGATTTTCATTTTGGTATTCAGGGCTGTAGCTGAGCAGGTGAAAAATCAGCCTTTCCTGCTTATGAAGTGCTACGAACTCCTTCTCTGTAGTGTAGAAACTCCTTCTGTGGAACCCAGACAAGAAGAGAAATGTCTCTTTGCATTTTATTTGTGTACTCATATTCAGTAATTTGTGAAGTGCAAGGAGACTGTCATAAAGTTTCTATCTGGAAAAAAAATCCTCTGAACAAAAAATATGTCAGCTTCTCACTGTAGAAAAAAATGCCCCAGTGCCTGTAATTGCATAACAATTTGATCCATTATGGCTGTGATACCATATATAAATTGATTGCTACAATATTTCTATGTGGTTATTTCTGAAGAAAAATGYGATCCCTATCACCTGTTACTTGTAACATCCTTTACTCAAAAATTGATGTGATAAACATAATGTTAGTCTGAACAGAATGACATGTAATGAAATGTAATGTAAAATCAATCAAAATTCAGCCAGCAGCAGTCATGAGGTTTATGCTGTGTTTTAACTGTGCAACATTTAACACTTCCAGATTTTATATAAATACTTACCTCTGTGTATTTTAGAAAGCTCCATCTATCTCCATACATCCAAACTTAAATACATCTAATTTTTAAATAGAYTTGGAACCTAATATTCAGATACATACGAGTTTTGGACTTTTGTCTTTATGCTCAAATGCATGAATGTAAGGCAAGTCCCTTACCATTTTGCAGTAGTATTATCCACTTCATTTTAAGTYTCCTCTACCAATACATAACATTGAACTACTTTTGTAAAATTAATAAGGGATTTATTAGAAATAAAATTTATGGAAATTATTTGTATTCCAAGCAGTTCTCAAGTGCAGGCAGAAGAGAATACTTATACAAMAAATGAATAAAATGTTTAAAAGTGCATCTTTTCTAAGTTTTGGAGTTGTATTCTATGTTGGAGAACTAAGGCCAAATGAAAGTCGTCATAATCATCCATTTTATTCCTGTCATAAATGGGTGGAAGATGTTGGCAGATTAAATAAATTACCCCAATAATAAGTAAGACTCTCTTGGAGGTTATTCAAAAATATCAGAATCAGTGGAATAGATATAGTTGAGTTATTGAACTAAGTTAGATTGTTGACTACATATTTGCTGAACAGGGATAACAGGAGTTTAAAATAGATTTCCCACTCTGTTTTACCATTTTAAAGTCATTATTACTGTATCTACTCTTTTTGAGCACAGTGTTAACATAGAGTCCTCTAAGCTCTGTTTCTATACCTAAATGTACGTAGAAGTTTTACTAAAGGTCTTGCTCTCACTCTGATTGCAGTCCCCCTTAATTACACTGATTATAGGCCCAAAAGGGGCTCTTCACTGGGAGGGTGGTCTGTTCCTGGAACAGGATCTGTAGGGAAGTGGTCACAGAGCAGAGCATATCTGAGTTCAAGGAGGATCTGGACGATGCTCTTGGTCATGGTTTAGTTTTAAGTACTTCTGCAAGACCAAGGAGATGAATTTGAAAATCATCATGGGGCCCTTTCAATTTGAGATAATCTATGATAGTATGACTCTGCTAAAAGAATGGACCTCTGATGTGATGGCACGTAGARTTAGGAGTCTCACTGGGAGACATACATTAAGCAAATCATAACCAGTTGTCATCAGCTCTGGAATTCATGGTGCAAAGCACCACTGAGGTGCTGTTTTATTATTTTCACTTTAATGGACTGTGTCATTGGCTTTAAACAAATGAGACATAGCTGAAGAGGCAATGTCCAAACCTGCCTCTGTAGGTGCCTGTGTGCTCAGACACCATGACTGATAAAGGGCTGCTATCACCACTGGTCCAACATCATTAGTTATGTGTAGAAAGAGAATTATTCAGCTGGATATCTATGAMKTCACATGAAGTTACAGAAATTCTTCCCTGTGTTTTCTTTCCTGTTTAGCATATTAAAGTAAAGTTGACATTGTTTTCAAAAAATGCTTTACAGTTCTTTATGATTTTCCAGAACACTCTTGCCAAGCCACACTTCAAGTGTCTCTATGCTTTGTTAGGTTTGAGGACCTCCTTCTAAAACATATCAACAATTTGTGAGTTTCATGACTCAGAAACAACTAATGTAATATTTGTGTGCATGCTTGTCTGCATCTTCTTACTCTGAATAMAATATCTAAAGCACCAAGATTCATTTTTGCATCATAAATATGCATAAGACAATCTTATTAACATGAATCTGATCTAACAGGTTCACCATGGATAAAGAAATGTAATTAATTTTCTTCCCTGCCTATTTCACTACTGTCTCTATTTTCCTTAGATTTTGCTTGTTCATGTACAAGGTCTTAGATCCTTTGTTATGTATTATATTTAGCTGCTTGATGCATCTCACAGGGTTTTTCTTAATCCCAGCTGGAGCATTAACAGCTTTTGCTAAGAAAAGAGTAGGAAAAAAATTCTTATTTAAGGTTTGAACAGACAGTCATAAAGAAAAATAGATTTAGACATACACAAAACCTGTGCAAATATTTCCTTTTGATGTCATTTTATATACATGTCATCCCTTCACAGCAAGGAAAATTGGTGCATCTACATTCTAATGCTGCTGTTAAAAAATGAAGCATGTTGTTTGCTGCTGACTTGCCAGATAGGTAGTATGATTGGAGGTCTAAAAAAAAAGCTTTAAAATATATTAGTGTACTTGAAAGTCAGAACACTCTTATTTACCTTCAAATAAGCTGCACTAAATCTATGGTTGTCACATATTTGTTTGTTTTTCCTCTTCTTTATCACCATTGTCACAACTCTTTAAAGATAAAAAGATAAAATTTAAAATGGTACAGTAACCTTGCATCCAGTAATATATTCTAAAAACAAAGAACAGTTTTGTATAAAGTTAAATACAACTCTAACAAAAGGAATGATTTTGCAGTTTAATCATACATAAAGTACTTTCTCTGCTGAGAGTTCTGCTATTGTTAATTTGCACAGTACTCATCTAATTTCTCTACCTTTCTCATTATCCTAGCAAAGCATCTGTTTGCCAATTTTGACACAACTGCATGGGTGTCTTGCAGGATTCTCTCMATTTTCTTTGGTTTGAAGCTTTTCCCCCCAAAACCTCTGTTTCATAATCCATGAAACAAACCTGTATCTTACTATACATAATTTATTCAAATTTCAGACTGATGATGCGATTGTTAAAATATGGAGTGAATTAGGAAATCATGTTGATAATTGGAACAAAGTCAGGTTACCCTTGGGGAAGCTGAGGAATTTTGAGATTAYCTTTGAAGGCATTGGTACCAGAGACCTGGGAGGAGGAGCAGCAATAGATGACATAGAGTTCAGCARCTGCATCACAAGTTCAAAGGCAAGTTTCTAGAGGGATGCTACATGAAATATAGGAAGTTCTTGTTTGTTTTTAGATACATCATAATTTTACTGTTTTCATCATAACTTCACTGCTCATAAAATCAATTATGAATAAATTGTTTTGGGTCTTATAACTTTAATACTCTTTTCTACACCTACATTTGTGCAGTGTTCTCACACTAAATGATGGCAGATAAATCCAAGAAATTATTAGAGTTTTCTATATTTATTTTTGTTTTGAGTAAGAACTTTCCTTCTTTAATGCATTGGTAAGTTATTGAGTCTCTGATGTTGTATATAACCATTTCATATAAATTGTGTCAGACTGTATCATCTGAAACCTGTGGCTTCTGTGTTTTTTTATAAAGTCTCTTGCCATAAAAATAAGTGGAGACTACAAATGAACTTTTACCAATATTCTTTCTCCCAGTTCAGTTGAAGTGTTAAGGCCAGCATAATAAACTTTTGACTCCTTCACAGAATGCTATATTTAATTCATATATGCATGGGCAAAGGCAAAAATTAGGACAAAGTTTGTCCTTATTAAAAACAACAAAAGCAAAACAAAGAACAAAACAAAACAAACCACCAAGTGAACAATAACAAAAAAAAAACCCCAAACCCCAAGAAGATACATATGGAGTAGATAGATCATGGTTTCTCTCAGGAAAGTATGTGGTCTTTCTATCTTGTGGGACACAGTGTGACACAAYACAAGTGATTTTCTTGATTGAGGGGATTGTTGCTGATGCCACCTATCAACACTGTGTTCACATGTATCAATTCATACCAGTGGGGTTAAACTACATTTCTGGGATTCTGTCCTGTTTTGGGGCTGCAGGAARTCTGACACTTCATTTCACAGTCAGATTCCCAAAGATATTCAACAAATAAAAATAGTACAGCTTATTTTCCTAAAGAAGAAGTATTATCTCTGTTAAGTTCACAAAGATGGTSTCAACATCTCTTAATATGGTGTCAAAATATTTCTTACTCTGAATTCCACATATTACATAATAAAAAATGAAATCATATAAGCAGAACTGGAAATATTCCAGGGTTGTCATTACAAGGAAAGAACTTGTTTCAAAAAGGATTTGGAAAGCTCATGTGAAGAATCTCTTACAATGTTAAGWTTGCTGAAATTTACATTGGTTTTAATCTGTAACTCTAAAAATCTGAATGTTAACATTGTTTTATAACCAGTCTTGCATTAAAATATCTTTTCTATGGAACAGTTCAGAAAGTAACTTGGTTTATTACTATACAGGAACTATTTGTTTTACAGCACTGCTTCARCAAGAATGTGTTGGGAAAGCAATTGCACCAAGTGCTCCAACTTTCACATACAGCTTCAACATAATCATATTCCTTCAGAAAGTTATTGTTAAGATGCATGATTCAGAGGAGGCTTTTTTTTTTTTTTATAGAAGATTGAAATTTACAATTGAAGCTCAACATACAGCACAAATTTTTTAAAGATTGATTTAGGAAAGCTGAGAGCCCCAAGATGCTAATCCTTTACAGAGCTGTCACTKGCATGGTCACTGCTTTTGCACTCTAACAGGGTACGGTCTTTATACATTCAGAAGCATTTCYTTACAGCATCTCTGGTAGTGTGTGGTGGGTACAGCAGGATTATCAGTAAAGTTTAGGTGTAGGTATGCTGTGGGAATGTGTTTGTTCTTATGACTTTGCATTTCAGCAGCATGACAGGCCGATCACATTGGCTTTTTAACTGGATCTGTGTGCATCTGTGAAAATGCATGTCTGTAAAATACAAAACCTCCAAAAATAACTCACACCCCACCCCACCTCTACTCCCTGATTCATCTGTGTGATGATAGTCAAACCAAAGTTAAAAGGGAATCTTTTAGCACTTTTCACATCAGCTCTCTGTATGATTTTTTGCCTTCTACTCCACAGGCTGATTCTTGCTTAATTTTCTCAAGACTTTCAGTACTCTGACCTTCCCGTTGGCATGATGACACAAAGGAGCCTGGTCTGACCTTTCTCATTCTTGTTGTTATTGATTCTTTACCTTTGTAGCACAAACAAGCAAAATACATTTTGCCAGTTTCTCAAAAACAACATTTCCCACCTGACCCAAACCTGAGGCATCCAGGATAGAGAAAGCATGTCATGTACAGATTGCATTTTTTGCAGCACACAGTTCAGAGTTTTATTGTGTCTGTTGTAACAAAGCTAAAAGTCAGTAAACACAATCTCACTGTGGCCAAACTCAAGAAGAAGAGTAGCATACRAAGCAGAAGGGGAACAGTACATTTCTTATCAACAAAATGACTTGATTTACAGCACTTGTAAACTGTGCTTGTAGCTGTAGAACTGCTGGGGTAGACACATGGCAAGGGTCCTCTAGGGCAACTTAAGCCACATTTGTATTTGCCACTTGATCCTATTTTGCCAAATTGCATATTTTATAATATACAATATATGTATAAAATCTTGTATATTATAGGTATTCTGGCTGTGTTAATTACATAAAGAGWGGAAGAGACCATGCACAGAAAGAACTGGAGACTGAAAATAATTAAAACATGAAGACAGGTTTAAAATAAACAGAATGGAATTGAAGTGAAAATGCCTTAAATTGCATGGGAAAAAAATTTAATATTTAGATGCTTCTTAGCATGAAGTATTTAGTGGTGAGAGCCAATGTAAGAGCAATTCTGTAGCATTCATATATTTTGGGATAGCCTCCTCCTCACAGACTGTACTTTTGRATGCTGCTGAATGGTATTCCTGGAACATRTTTTACAATAAAATAATTKCCTCCTTACTGAAATTATGTACTCAAGTTGAGACAGTGAAAAGGGAARAGAGAGGCAGCCCATGTGATATTTTGACATGTGAATATCAGATCTGTTTTCTTCAGTATGGTAGTATTCAATGGTTATAGCAGCATTTATTAAACTTAAATACTTATTTTGTTTTAAACATATTTTCCTTCAGCTTGTTTCCACACAGTGTGTTATAAAAATAAGCTTYATACATCATAAGAGGATCTGCACTGGGTTGGATTTTTTGGTCTTCACTTATATAGCTGAGATTTATATAGCTCATTTTAGATGAGCACATCCAACAGGTCAAAAGTTAAATTTCCTTTTCTTTTTAAAAATTATTTCCTTTTAAAARTTATTTTGTTAACAGCTTATATATCAGTAGGATATGACAAATAACTCCATTTATTATGATCTGAGTTTCTGGGGCCCATTCCTTCAAAGCTCATTTTCCTCAGGTCTCACTAATTTCTATGGAGGTGAAAGACAACAAGCAGCTCTTTATTGGAAATATGAGCTGTAGGAAATATTACAGAATATTTCAGAGGTAGAAAAATCCAGAGATTTAAAAGAATTTTATCAGTTGGTTTTCAGAGGGTAAGCTATGTTCTGAAAACAAAAATAAGTTAAACTCCAAATTTGATACATCTTTTACGGGTTAAATTAAAAAATCTGAAAAATAATCAAGTCACATCACAGCAGGAAAAAAATTTGTTCTTAGCATTAAATTGATTGACATATTGATATTAATTCCGTGTTATTGYACAATAATTCTTCACACAATTTTAGTGACAGACTGTGACTTGAATGGTGTGTACTGTGGTCATTTCTTTTGCTATGTGATAATTGACTTTGATCATGCATGAGGTTATTTCCAGGCTAGGAAAAATTGCCTCCGTTTCTGCCTTAATGAAAAGGTAAAATGCCTATGAGGTTCATACAGAATAATCCCTAATGATAAATTTAYTTTTGACACTTATGACATTTAACTTCATGATAAGGTTGCTCTGCTTTGTTAAGAAGCACTTCAAGCATTATTGATTTGCTGTCCCAGCTGATGGCTCACTGTCATGTAATAGTGAATCAAGRACACAGCTTGTCAGATGCTGTTACAGAAGTCTGCATTTTGTGAGTCTGTAAGTTTAAAGAAAGAAATTTTGTACTCCAGATACTCAACAGGGAGTATAAGCATGGATGTATACATTACTCAGCCACATGATACATATTGATTTTGGCATCCCAGGGTGCCACCTGAGCTAGGAAAAKGAAAGATAAATGAAAATATAAGAGAATCAAAACTCTGCACTAAAATTTGACAGAAATTTCTAGAACATTTTGTTATTTAGCTGATTTTWATAATTTTTCATAGTGTGGGAATTCAATGCCTTAGAAGTTCAGGAACAAGAAAGAACAATTACATGTCCAGAGATCTTTGTGAGTTGTCTATTTGGGACCAGACTCCACAAGCTTGTCTTCTAATGTTTAAGGGAAACAGGATAGTCAAATTACAATTTTTTTTTAAATTAAATTTATAGGAAATTGCTTCACCAAACTGAGCTGAACAGAAATTTTCCTTAAAATCTTATAAAGCCTTGCCTGCTGGCAAATGTTTTCTTTTCCCTTCTCCTTGTATATTTGTATTCCTCCTCACCTTCTTTTTAAGGCAAAGACCATAGGTGAAGGTACTGAAATCCTTTGAACGGCTTTACTTCCATGCTCTCATAAACAAGAAGCTTTGAAAGTCTCAGCAGAAAAATCCTTTCTCATTAGAATTCCATCCCAGCTTTGCAGATCAGAGACATGATAACTAAAACATCCTAGTGTTTGGGTATGTAGGCCAGATTTTTTATTTTTAAAACAAGACAGTGTTTCCTTTGAATCCTCAGCTATGTATCAAGCAAAGCTTTACATTTAGCAGAGAATTTAGTTTCTTCTTCTCAAACACTTGAGAGAAGTTCAAACTCTTATAATAGAAGTATTCAGTACAAATCTGGCTGTGAAGTGAGAGGGAAGGGAATTCAGACAGAGAAAGCTGCCAGACCTAAATTAGTCACTAAAGATATTCATCGGTTTTCAGACAGAATCTGCCCAGTTTTCTAATTTTCTTTTTTTTTTTTTTTTCCTTTCAAAATATTTTAGTGATTCATGGTGATTTTCACTTGTTTTCATGAATAGGACAGTGTCAGGGC